AAATCCAATCTCAGCTTTTATGACTAGAAATTCTGAATAGATATAAAGAGAAGAAAACCCTGCGTGTAAAAGAAAAAAAAAAAAAAGGTTATCTGTTGGTAACATCTTGTTAGGATCWGCTATTTCTAATGTTCAGGTCTCCCAACTCAGAAGGGATTGTTTTTATTTCCAAAAAAGCAAAAGACATATAAARAGGTAAAAGCAGTATTTATACTCAGGATCCCCTCCGGCTTTGTGTACAACTGACTCGAGGGGCTCCCAGGTACCAAGTCAAGAACTTGCTGTCTTTTCTATAGCATGAAGGAGTGGAAAGGTTGTTAATTTGAAGTAAAAGGGGATAATTTTATCAAAGTATTARTCATAGAATCATAGAATGCTTGGAAGGGACCTCAGAGGTCATCKAGTCCAACCCCCCAGCTCACACAGGGTCACCTAGAGCACGTGGCACAGGGCTGCGTCCAAGCAGGTTTTAAAGATCTCCAGAGAAGGAGACTCCACAACCTCTCTGGGCAGCCTGTGCCAGGGCTCTGTCACTCTCACTGTCAAGAAGTGTTTCCTTAAGYYCCTGTGGAACTTTTGGTGCCTCAGCTTGTGGCCRTTTCCTCTAGTCCTATCRCTGKCCACCACTGAAAAGAGGCCAGCCCCCTCCTCCTCMCTGCCTCCCTTGAGGTATTTATACACACTGATCAGGTCCCCCCTCAGCCTCCTCTTCTCCAGGCTGAACAGGCCCAGCTCCCTSAGCGTTTGGATTTGGAGCTATCAATAAGTTAATCTAAGAAGTTGTTGTGCACCTGCTAGGCATGATGATTTAAGATTTGTCTCTTGATTTTGGGGTTTCCTCTGCCTGCTTTGTTGGGAGGTGAGCTCGGAGCAGCTTCTCGCGCTGGCTCCGTCCTGGGAGGGTCACCCAGGGCTCCTCACACGGGTGCTTTAAATAGCAGAGGGAGACACAGGGAGAGGGGCTGATGGCATCAAAAACTCTGGAAGCTCTGGTGCTCTCAGGATTCAAATATTCCTGAAGTCGCTCTTTTTATATATATGTAAGTGCACAGCAGAAAAATATAGGCTCCCTTGTGAGATCTGTTGTGAGGAACTGTTTCTGCTGCACTGCTGCTCTCTACCACCAGGATGTTTGGGTTTAGGATTACARCTCCTGCCCTAGAAATATTTTTTGTATTCATATGTGAAATATCCCATCAGTAGTACACCTAGGGTGAATTGATAATATATGGTCAAAACCATATATAACAGACCTCAGTGGACTGTATGTTTTATTTACTTATAGACTGTCTCATTAATTCCCCATATTTTCAACACTTAAAGCAAGTCTATATAAACTACAGTTTACCCTAATATTTTACCCATGTTGTTTCCTCTGCTGTGTAAGTGACTAAGAAATGGGCTGCCTTTCAGAAGGGCAGCTTATTCACTCTGCTCATCCTTGGTTTGGATAATGAAATTCTTGCATAGCCAACAAGTACTAAACACTGCTCAGAGACCTCTGTGGGGGGAAAAAAAATGGATCAAATCCTCCACAAAGTATAATCTAGGCACGTGTTGCTGTTCAAGATATCCATGTTTGAGTAACAACTTGTTAATGAATCTCAGAAGAGGTGTGAACCCATTAGTGCAGATCTTTAAGGGCAGGTGGACTCRTTTACCACCCATCAAGCGATCGGAGGCATCTAAAAGGTTCATTTAACAACTGCTCTGCTCAGATAAAAATAAACCATTGGAGACAAGAGCTAAGAAAAAATAAATAAAAAGCCATKATAGCAAAGTCCTAATGAAAGGTGGGATGTGGAAAGCGCGATGCTGAGGCACGGAGGTGGTGCTGGATGAGAGCACAGAGATGGAGCCAGGGGGCTGCAGTGCCCCAAGCCCCCTCCAGTCACATCCTCAGCTGCAAAATCACAAGGCTCCAATTCAGGCTGCAGCTTGAGCCTGCTAGCTGCTGGAAGCACGTCTGATTCCTTCYTGTGTACCTTCTTCTGTGCAACAGTTACCACTGAGCACAAAAGAAATGTGCTGCATGGTAATCCCACTTGTTACAGCCCTTCAAAGTGGTGAACATCCATGTCCTGCTCATCTTCTTCATTGCATTGCTGATTTTATCATTCTGGGTCTCCCCGTGGTCTCTTCCCCAGCTGCAGATTTGTGTAGCGTTCTCTTCTGCAGACGTGGTTTGTGTTCCTCGCTGTCAGGCTGCTTTTCTGTGAGACGTTGCTAGCTCCATACTGTGCATTTTGAGACAGAGATACTGGCACAGCCAGCAAGAGCCAGACTGTAGGTGCACAACCACAGGCTAACGGTAGTTGTTGCTAGGCTTTTCAAACTCTTAAAATTSTATTTAACATTTTGCTTGGATGATGCTTTTAGAGAACTAGCTGCATTTTTTTGCAAGTTCCCATTCCTGCCTTATAATAATTAGTTAGGGCCCATCCCTGCTTCAGTCTAGCTAGGGTTATTTTTTCCCCATGGGCAACATTCTGCATTATTTTACATGAGATTTTTGTCTGCCACTTCACTCAACCTGCTCAATACTGCCAATTTAACAGCTCTTCCATACCAGTTTTAGATGTGACCGTTCTGAACAGTAAAATTTCTCAATTACAGAGATTCACAGTTCATTTCTACCTTTTCTTCCTTAGCTTTTACTTAATTAATCCCATGTGAGAGGAGCTGTTATCCCTTCCCATTGAATATTTCACCTCCAAAGGTTCTTAAAAGTTTTCTAAAAGTTTTCTAGAATACCATCAATTTTCTCTGCTTGAACAACCTGGACATCAAATATGCTGCACCCCGATGCATCCCTACATCCTACTGCATTTGACTTGTACCTGAAAATAAGTCCCATGAGCCTACCGCTCAGCCAACAAGTGTGARCTCAGGTGGGGCTTTGTGCCCTACAGGAGACCAAGAGGTAGCTCTCCGTTGGACACTAGAAGCTCCATGGGATGTTGCTGGGTGTCCCTGGGATGTCCTATCTCCTTCACAAGCCTTCATCGGTACCTGAGCCTTGGCCTCCTCCTATACCTCTGCGCTCATGCAGCAAGATAACAGGGTCATGTGTTGAACTACAAAGCCTCCAAACTCAGTAAAAAAGGTACCTTGGAAGATGAGTTTTGTTCTGGAAGTCATGGACTGTTGCCCTGACACATTGTACAGGAGGAATGAAAGGGCTGGGGCAATACCAGAGCAACCCGAGCACAAACCTCCTTCAGGGATGCAAAGGCCTTGAGGCTTCAAAGGGGGAAAAAGARGAAGAAAAGTTCCTCTTCCTCCTCCTCCTCTCTCCTTCACTTTTCTGTGGATCTGCAGGTGAATCAGACTTTTGTGGCCCTTCCTTCTCCAGCTTTCGTTTTAGTGAGTTTTGTACAAAATGTGGCTAYTCATGTTTCATCTATTTTAGTGTAGAGAAAGGTCTTAGACAGTGTGATATAAAGTGGGTGTTTACTTCCTGAGCAGCAAGACGTTTCCAAAGTGTGCTTATTGTGTCAGTATTGCTAGAGCCATCATTTAATTTGTATTCCTGCCTGAGCTTTACTGGTAAAGAAGCATGAAGTTTGATTATTGGTTGCACTCAGAGTACTCGTATTTTTAGCTCTCAGAAAATTAATTTTTAGCACTGGGAACAACACTTTTGTCCAGGCTACAAGCAAAAGTCACTTTGAGGTGTGTGTGTTGTGAATTTGCCTAAGATGTGCAATATGTGTTTGTCACCAGCACCTTCAGGGAATGTTTATCACAGGACTGAGAAGTTTGGTTTGTGGTGCTAGAGTATTCTGAACACATGTCCTGTTCACAATTTGCTTTATGTGAGCACTGATAGTCTAGCTGTTTTCCCAGAACTGTTTAATTGATGTTTCCTTTTGCCTTTTGCAGTTCTCTTTAGATGTTAGAAATTTTAATTTATTATTTTAAAGAAAAAATTTTTAAACACCAATTGGATGTGGTTAGTGACTTAGTGCTAAGTTTGCCAAGATTTAAGTGTAGAACTGAAAGGGGATGCTCACTCACCTTTGTAATATTAATAGACTACATAGTTGAGTTTAATTACAACACGATATTAATAGAACATATRGTTAAGTTTAATTACAATAAGCATATTTATGGGTAATAAGGAGAAAAAAAAAGTCACATGCTGTAAGTCTAGATGAAGGGAAGAGTCARCTATAGTAGTTCAATTTAGAGAAAAACACAGGAGAGTAGGGAATAAATGGGAGAAAGATTGCAAGCAACATTCAGAAAACTCACTGGAAAATGAGGGAAGAGAGAACAAGAGAAAAAGAGGCTGCATGCAGCATGCAGAAACATGGAGAAACACAAAAAAAAAGAGCAAAAAGAGAAGCAAAGTTGTTCTGAGAATGTATGTGCACAGGTATCTATTTGTCATACCTAAATGTGTCTCTATGCTGCTCATAATCRGCTGTAACTTCGTGCTGTCACATATGTAAGCAGAAAGCTACACCTCTCAATAAACCTCTGGTCTGATTTCTATTTATCTGAAAGGAGGAGAAGAACAATTTAGCGAGCCCGGGGTGTTTTCAGTAGTGAAATCTGTGTGTGAAGTAAATCCCGCCTGTGGTGCTTCTACTGCAATGTACAGATAAAGGAATTYGGTAAACCCGGGGGTGGGAGGCAACTTAGGACTGTGCTTGTGGTGCACATTTATCCCTTTCGCGTTGCAATGCCCTGTTCTTCTCCYGAACCGCTTACGATCCTGTTACACGCCAGGTTTGTAAACCAGCCAAACTGTGGGTGGATTTTGGACCTCGTGCATATATGCCATGTATATATGCACATCTGGGTGCTGAATCGTTAATGAAACCTCTACTGAGTTAATGCAAGTGATTATTTTGTGAGAATGCCTGGTTTATGCACAAACTTTTTTAATTCACGTGGCGCTTTCTTCCAAAAGAGACCATTTTCTTTTGTTTGCGAACATCGTCATCACTTATTGCAGCGTATGGTAACTGCGACTGTTCTTCCTTGTCCAGCTGTCCCCCATAAAATAGGGCGGATAATTGATGGAAGTCCCGCTGATCGCTGTGCAAAACTTAAAGTCGGAGACCGGATCTTAGCTGTGAATGGCCAGTCTATCATTAACATGCCTCACGCAGATATTGTGAAACTAATTAAAGATGCAGGTCTCAGCGTAACACTCCGCATCATCCCTCAGGAGGGTAAGTCAATGGCCCTGAAAAACAGGAAGAAAATTTTAAGTAGCCTCCAATTAGCTTGAGTTATGTCACCCCTTGAAAGAGCGTCTTTTGTTTCACATRCTCAGCTGTAACATACAGTGCATGGAAATTACGGCCTTAGATCTAGCTAGAATAAAATCCACATTCTTGAAASTATTTCTAGTTATGAGCTGATATTTAAAGAGACCCCGGAGAAACGTGAGAGAGAACAGACTACTAGAGAGTTAGTTTTACTGGTTTTTGGAAGAATATTCCACTGCACAGAAAAGCACCCTATGAGAGGTGGGTTTTGTCATTCTTTGCTTTTTTATCTCACTGTAAGCCAAACTCTTACACAAAGTGACTCACAAGGGACTCCAGTGTCACCCTTGGGCATGTTCAATTACCTGTGACAAAAGAGTAATGACAGGGAAGAGGTCTGATTTGGTCATTTCCCCTCCACACTTACTTGTCACTRTAAGTGCACAAGGATGGAAAGAAATGAACCCTAAAATATCTCCTTTGGAGGGTGAGGATAAGGCAAGAGACYTGATATGTGGTTAGGAGTTATGGGCTTGGTTTCAGAGGGCGGGGGTTGTTCTGGTTTGGAGAGCTACTCTGCCAGTGTGTGAATAGTCCTGTGTTAGTGAGATTATGGCTTTACAGCTCAGCAACAAATAGTAATAGAGCTGGGAATGGCCCACACGRCAAGTAGGGTAATTAATGAGCCACACTGAAGTGGGATGGTCTCTGCTTCCGACTGCTGGATCCAGCAACTGGATGAGGAATGGTTTGACACTGGCCAGGGACTACAAATATGAGCACTTACCTACTTTGTTAAATGAATTCAGGGAGCAAATTCTACCCAAAYGTACAGAAGTACAACCATCCTGCCCCATTCAGGAGATGCTCCTAAACCTGCTCCAAAGTGAGAGGTCATGTCCAGCCTGGGCTGTTTTGAGCTTTGGGTGCTAGTGGTGAGAAACAACTTGTGTCCTAGGCCTGGCTACCCCACTGTTACACTGTGTGACACTGGACACCTCATTTATCTTTGGGTATTAGCATCCCAGTTTATAGCATTAGGGAAAAAAAAACTAAGAAATCTGTAATGCACTTTAGGTGAAAAATACCATATAAATGCAAAGCAGTTTTAGAAGCAGCTTATGATTTGACTAGTTCATCCATAGTTATGAGAGTAATGTAGAAATGAGGGACAATATTCCCAAGGTCTGTCTGTGAACATTCGCCATACACATGCAAAATAGGCAGTGCAAGACCTACGCCTAGCAAAGACACTGCTTTTGTCTGCATGAGGAGCATTATAAGTGCAAATATGCAAGATTTTTTGACAATTTAGCCTAAATTGGAAAGATTTTTATTGAAGAATCCATATTATTATAAAATAATTATAAACATAAATAATTACAGAGTCATTAGAAACATACAGTTTGAGGAGAGCCTAGCAGCCCTCCATCCTCATGTGGGYAGACTCCCACTTTGGGACTTTGGGTTTCTGTGGTGTTCCTATGCAAATCCCAGGTAATTTGGCACAAATGTATGACATAAAGCATCAGTTTAGCTGGTTAGGGAGCATTTTTTGAGATTGGTTTTGCTACTCGCTGTCCCCAAAGGCATAGGAAAGAGAAGAAACTCTTGTTGAGCACCAAATCAGCCAGAGCCACACAAGCCCAGCGGTGCCTCAATGTCTGTGACAGTAGTCTGTCACCCCATGAGAGTGGTGAAAACCATAAAATCACTCGTTCACTCAAAATGAAAAGTTTCCAAATATCAATACTTCTAGCTTTTAAAAAAGACCATGAAGCATAGGAGGCATTTGCACCCTGTCCAGCTGGGTTTTAAACAATGAAGGTGTCAACCGAAATTACCAGAGTGACCAAGATTTCCCCTCTCAGAGACTACCAGCAAGAGCCCAAATCTAATTACGAGCCCAGATAGCAAAAGCAGCAAGGCCAAAACTCCCCGGGGGAGAGGGGGACCCCGTAAACGCGCGCGGCCCGGCCGCCGCCATGACGGCCCTCTCGTCCGCAGCGTCGCCGTCAGCAGAGCTGAGCAGCCCGGCCTCGGCGCCCGGCTCCGAGAAGCAGAGCCCGCTGGCGCAGCCGCACAGCCCCGGCGGGACGCAGAGCCCCGGCGGGACGCAGAGCCCCGGCGGGCCGCCGCCGCCGCCGCAGCCCCTGCAGCTCCAGGGACACGAGAACAGGTGAGAGCGGCGCCCGGCGCCTGGCTGGCCGGGGGGAACGCGTTGGCACCTGCATTAGCTACATGTGTTTAAAGCAGACTTTGGCTTAGCAATATTTATATATTTAACTCTCCTTGTTCTCCAATCAGAGCTATTTAGTCTGTGGATTAATTGTTTTTTGTTAAAGGAGGATGAATCCACTCTCTCTGTGCTCATCTCCAGTAAGTAACGAGACTCATCAGGACCCTCATCCCCAATGTATTACATGCCAGCTATAAAACCTTTTCCTTTCAGAAGTACTTGTATTTAGTTGATTCAGGCACTGAGCATCCGAATTCACCTTGCTTAACAGATGTACCTTTTTCACTTGACTAAAATAAATAACTTTCACACTTTTCAAATTTCTTTCCTTTGTTATTTTATCAGATACTTCTCCAGAAGTTGTCACCTCCTAAGAAAGATGTGCTTCTGGTCCAAATCCCATGCAAAACTTTCACAAGAACCTCCCTGGGCTATTGTAAGCCAATAATGAATGTCTAGTGAATTGGGAGCTTTCAGAAGAGATCTGTAAACTATATTAATTACATTTGCAAAAAACAAGTTCTGTAATAGTTTTATTGAAATGCATAARCTATAATTGATAATGTCATTATTTACATATTTAACAAGAACTACAGTGACTACCATGGTAAATAAAAGCATCATCCTCTAAGGTGCAGCTGTACGTGGGGAACCTGCCYAAGGATGATTCTTGTTCCAGAAAAAAAGTTCATTTTTCCTGGCTGACATTTCACCACATTTTATAAGTCAGTTTGCAACCTGTACATATATTGCTTTTGYGTCAAAGAATAATAATGATATATAAAATCTTTAGGAATTATAACTGGTATTTTTCCTTTCCATATTCATGGGGTTTTGTGATGCAGTAAGCTTGTTTGCTTTCAGTCTTCTTGTTACAACAGATCATGCTACGAAGTAAAGAAGATAAGAGGATTGCATGTATTTGTGCAGGTCTTTCTATAGATGCCATGTATGGGGTTTAAGAGTGTGTGTGGCAGTGGAATGTTTTCTTCTTCTCAGGAAAGTCAGGCAGTACCAGGCAACTAGCTCTGCTTCYTTCTTGTCTGGTGGAGACATCCAGCTAATTAAAGCTAGTGTGTAGGACAACCTGCCGTAATGTTACTGCAACTGTACCAATCAAATAGCAAAGTTTTGAAATGCTAGATCTGAAACATTATGAAATGTTTAGCTTGTTGAGCGTTGTCTCTTCAGAGGTAAATTAACATGAACAAAAATGCTGGTGTCATTCAAGGTGTCAAGTGAGTTTAACTTAATAGATTTGTTTCAAAATCCCTTTCACAATCTATACACCTCCCTGTGCTGTATGATTATCTATATGCACATGGTCACTTGATGGCCAAAAAGCTTCCAGACCCTTCCTTATTAAAACAGAGTCTGAAATATATATATAAATTAAAATAAAATTTTTTGCCCCTGTGGTTAAACTGTARAGATGTCTATCATGACATATTTTACTAAACCTAACTCAAACTGCTGTTACAGAAGCACCTTACTAAATGTGTTCAGGATTTCCTTTAAGGCCCATTCAGCATGTTACAAAACGAGGTAAGAAGTGACACTGTGCACTGATTTCMCTTTTAGAGGCAGGAAGGATTTGGAGGGAAAAGGGAATCACCACACTGCGTGGTAAGGAATCCATTCCTCTCCATCTCAGAAACTAATTTCTGCACTACAGAGAGTCAAATTTTCTTTGAAATGTTGGKAACCAACTTCCTTCAACCAGCTGTTAATTAGAATGATATTTGTATTAACACTTTGTGAACCAATTTTTTGCTTCTTTTACACTATGACACTTCTGTGAGTAGCTACTAGTATGACCTGTTAGGGCTTGTRGCCAGACAATATTGTAGGGAAYGTGCAGWRTATTTTATGTTAACMGATGTTGTATCAAAGAGTACCTTTYATTGAAAAGGTAATGACTWGCRCRAAGTATTTATCCTCATTGAATTGTAAGAGATTCACAGTAATAAYAGCTTGTGTCAATAAAATGCAGGGGATAGCCAGTGTCTGCACTGATTTTTTGTTTACTTTATAGAAATCTTCCTTCTGGAAAAAGCACTTCATAAACTCAGTGGATTATTTTGCAATGTGTATTTTTTTAATGCAGTTTCTTCTTTCAGTTAGTCAAGATAAGTGGGATTCTGATGCTGCTCCTGTTCCTCCGAGCCTAATCCCAATCCCACTGATATAAACTCGGAAATTGCAGAGAATGACCTGAGTGAAAATTGCTTATGCCCACATCTCAGGAGTGGTCACTGATTTTGGATGCCTCTACGGTTTATCCTAGGAAGTTTTGCTTATCTGTGAAAATGTGTTTTCTGCAATTCTGTAGCCAGGCAATTTGCTTGCAGTCCTCAGTATCACAAGCAATGCATATTTTTTTCACGTTCTGCTGCCTTCTGAAATGCCACCGTTTTGCTCAGTTATAGGTCAGAAGTAAAAGCAAGGCAGGATGTGAAACCTGATATCCGGCAACCTCCGTTTACAGACTACAGGCAGTCTTCAACAGACTACAGGCAGCCGCCGCTGGACTACAGGCACCCTCCAGTGATGGACTACCAGCAACCACCGCCTCTCGACTACAGGCAGCCGCCCTTGCTGGACTACAGGCAGCATTCACCCGACACCAGGCAGTACCCTCTCTCGGACTACAGGCAGCCCCAGGTACGAACTGAAATAGTTACCACGTTCTTCAACAGAAAGCAGTAGGTTTTGGAGCCAGAGGCTGTGTGTGCTGTCAAAACAACTGACATTAGGGAAGAAAAAAACACCTTTTTCCTTTTTTTTCTTTGCTCTGAGATACTATTTCTCTGCAGAGAAAATTGGTTCACAATCATTACTATTAACAAAGAACTGGGCAATCTATAAAATAACACAACATTTATAACTATGTGGTTAGAATCTTAAAGAAACGCTGTTTTTAAGGTAGCGGACAGTTAAAATAGAAGTTCCCAAATAGGCTGCCCTTGCCACAGCAGGAGAAGTTATTAGTTTTCTAAGAGTGTAATCCAGCCATCGTACAGGACATGTGTTGAGGCCAAAATGCATTTCTGCAGTGCTACAGAAAACACCTACACAAACGGTGCTCGCAGTTAGAATTTGGCTCTTTCGAGGGACAAACTCAAAGGGTTGAGCTGGGATTTTCCACTTTCCACCTGCTCCTAACCTAGGGAGCATTTCTGCTGCCCATTTCTGGCTTGYTCTGCTCCTGATACAGGAACTGCCTGCTTTCCCACTTGCCAAATCAGCTCTTCTGCACAGAGCCKAACACAGCTACCAGGAAAGTGCTGTACTGAATATGGAACCAGCACAGAGAGTTTTAGGTACCAGGCAACTGCTCAATGATGGCATTTCTGGAGACTTTAACTTAGATTTATTAATCTAGACTTCGGCATCTGTATTTTGCTAAAACCTCTTTAAATGGCCAAAATAGGCACTGTTGAGCTCACCCCTCTGCCAGCACAAAGGTGTGTTTGCACACCTGGAAGGTGTGTTTGCATGTGTTAGCTGGGTAGCTGCATCTCTAGAGAGGTATTTTCTTGAATGTAAATCAGCCTATTCATATTCATATGGTTAATTGTGCTTCATTCTATATTTGTCCATTCAGGACTTTGATTATTTCACAGTTGATTTGGAGAAGGGAGCCAAAGGGTTTGGGTTCAGTATTCGAGGAGGAAGAGAATACAAAATGGATTTGTATGTGCTGCGGTTAGCAGAAGATGGACCAGCAATAAGAAATGGAAGGATGAGGGTAAGTAAAATTACTCTTTTGAAACTGAGCCTATTAGAAAAATTCACAGAAATATGTTATAAGAGTTTCTGTAAACTGCATTTTCATAGTAAATGTATTTGGTGACGGGGTCAAATAGACCCCAAGACCCCAAGGAATATTTTACCCCTAAATATGTTTAAACAATTAAACACCTCTGATAATACAAACTATTCCAGGAAGACTTGGAAAATCACTTGAAATATATAGTAAGTCTGTACAGTTTCTTTGGGAAATTAATATATTACATTTTGCTGATAGTAGATTTTTCTTTGTTGTACTGTGTTGCTCTTTTTATCTCTCATTTGAATCCAAGCACTTTAAAATCTCTATCAATGAATTTGATACTCCTGTGTACTTCTGTGATAATATTATCAGCATAATTAACATTTACTTTGTGAGCACAAAAGCAAAGCGGTAAATAGATGTCACTCATCTGACAGTTACGAAACCTAGGATCTGAGCTGGTTTATTTTACTAATTGAAGTAAATTGCTTACTAGTACTTGGCACCTTTGTTTATTGATATTATTCACTTTTCTCTGCCRTGATCATCTCTCACTGTTTGTTTGTGTGGGTCCTGAATTGGTAGAAGTAGTAATAGTGACATATTCAAATACCAATATCAATAAAATTATGGCATTCACTTAAAATTCCGTAATGAAAAAAATATGCATTCTCTGTGGGAAAAATAACCTCATCAAAAGTAGATACTTCTAATCTGCCCAGCTGAACAAAAGGAGGGCATAAAGTTATCAAGTCATATCAATAGATTAAAACATTAGAGATTAGTGAATGAAAAGGAAAAAAAAAAAAAAAAGGAGTAGGGGAATCCTCCAACGGTGAGAAACCACCAAGAATCTGTGGATTCTCTTTCTATATATTGGTGCAGCCTTGTTATTGAAGCAGTATTTAATTATGAAGACGGACAAGGGAAATTGTGTTATACTATTTTACTACTGAATTATTACTATCACAGGATATTACAGGATAATGTGTTTTGTAAAGATAGTGGTTATTAAGCAGATTCTTATTCCCAAACCTGATAATCTCATCAAGYTTGACTTTATAAAGAGCATTGTGATCAATGTAAACTTGCAGTTGCAAGCCTTTAGAAACAGATGGAGACCTACTGCATATAAGCGAGGATTTCTTATTATATTTCATATGACTCTTCCTTTGTCCGCTCTGTAGAATTTTAGAATTCTGTTAGTCCTGAGCTGTGCCATGGGGTTCAAACCCCTGGTCCTGGGCATTTGCAGAAAGAAGCAATAGCATAAGGAATAACTTTGGCTACCAGCCCAGGTCATCACGCAGTAACTGAGAACTATTCCCACAATATTTATTGAATGAAATATAGGTGAATTAATCTGCAACCAACGTTAAAAAGAATTTCAAAACTCTCAAGAATATCTTCACTTGTTTTTCTTTGATGTYTTCCTTTACTGTACTGCTATTGCAGTTAGTTGTTCCTAACAAAAAGACATGGCATACATTATTAACCATAATGTAATTAAAGACGAGGAAAAAAATAAAGAATTGTGTTTTTAATAAGGTCTGGAATCACATATTTGGAAGCGTGTGGCTATGATGGCAGACTTTGAGGGATGCTAGCTTTTAAGAGGGATCTTTTCAAGCTGTACTAGGCAAAGAAATCTGACCTATTAAAATCTGTGCATGAGTTGAATAGTACCACAGAAATAAAGTCCACTTTGTGAATAGCATAAGTATGCAAAGTATGCAATATAAATACATGGCCCTTTTTGAAAATCTCATGTTTTATCAAGAAAAATGCTCATTTATTTTCTAAAATATCTTCTTTTAAAACTTCCTTTATTGGCAGCTACTATAGAAATTCATAGTCTGGCCAGGCACTTCTGTCTTAGGTTCTTTTTATGCTGGTTTAAAAATGCTGTTGCTGAGAATCAGCCKTACCCTGCAGCCCTGTCACTGAGTCTGCTCTTGTTTAATGGCCATTTTAGCCTGACAGCCACAAATGGGTTTGGAACTTGCAAGACTTTTATCTCCAGTGACCTGTAACTGATTGACRAAAGTGGCATAGAAACAGCTGCTGCAAAATAAAAATAACTTTAAAATGTGTTTAATTGCAAAGAGGAATAATGCATATAGAAAGATGAGCAAAAGAAGCTGAGTTTTGTACTCAAATCTCTTTTCCTAATTTTAATCCTCTATCAATAATGCAGGTTCATTCCCCCTTGCCTGGGAGACTCAGCCTGCTTGTTACAGTTCTGTATCTCTGTGTTTCACAGATGCAGCTCTATAGGAAACATGCAAAAATTGTTCAGTCCTTTTGACTTCGTATACCATCATCTCTAAATCTCTTACCCTACACTTTCAGCACAGAGATGTTTATGTGGAGGCATCTAATCAGGGGCATCTCATCTCATGGTCTGCTTCTGTCCCTGTTTTGCTTCCTGTTTCTTCCTCCTTGAAAAGAAAATCATTGATTTAACTATCTGCCTTGCAGACAAACATCAAGCAGATAAAATGAGGTGCACATCTTGCTTGTAGAAATATCACAATGCCACCATTTTTCCCACCAACCAAGCCAAGGAAACAAGAATTKAAGCCACTAAACTGTTGGAAAAAATAGGCTATATAATGAAATGTTAGCTTTAAAACATATAGATTTAATTACTAATTTAATTATTCCACAGGTATTTTGTTGTTAGTATAGTCATAGCCAACCTGATAAAGGCCCACTTATATTGTTACAAATGTCCTTTCTTTACAAGAATAAATAAAAGCATGTAAAGTACCTTCAGAGTGATAGACCTACATGTGTAGTACTGAGTTTGTAATTTTGTATAGTTAGAGCAATGTAACCTGTWACTGAAGACAGCTCCAGATAAGCAAGTTAGTCTGCAATTTATACCTTGTGCTAATGGGCAGTGCAAAACCTCAGTGGTGGGATGAGCCCTACAGTTAAGTTCTACCTCGATATGTGCTAAAAAATGTGARTGTTTATCATTACACATTCAAAAGTTTGGGGGGATTAAATATATATAGAAGTGTTATGCATAGCAGCTATGGAGATWGGAGCCATAGCTCCATACAGCCATGGAGCCATGAAGTGAAATTTAAGATTGGGTGTAAATATATGAAACTATGTTTTATAAAAGAAATTAGAATAGATACATTAGTGAGGAAGGTAAGTGTGAAAGGAATATGAAATGCCTTTGCTGGGAGCAAAGGCCAATTGAACCAACTGACCATGATGACAGGGAGAAAGTAAAATCAAGATTAAAGCATCCTCATGACACTTTTAATTTAATCTTCAGGCCCTTATGAACTCAAATGAAGCTTGGAAGCAGATGAGAGAACTGACTGATAGATTAAATAGAGCAGAGTGCTGGAGGTGACCTGCTTCCAGTGGTCCTGCCAGACCAATCTGGCTTTGAAAAGGCAGATGGAATGGGGAAAAAAAAAGATGTAATAAAAGCTTGTTGTCCCTTCCCCATTTCCAACCAGAAAATCTTATCTTTCTTCTTACTGGCAATGGGAAACTGGACACTTGGTGTTCCTGTGGAAAGAGCTGATGAAGTAGCCATTTGGGAATACTAGTTCTAAAATAGTCATTAATTCCCTTTTGTGACTGATGGAGCTTTCTGACCCATTTTCTGCCAWATTTTTCTGAGACTCTGAAAGGTGGAAGACTGATGAGTTGATGTCATATTGAGCTCACCAGTCTCACTAGCATATTGCTTTTTTATCAAACAGCCCTTCTGCCTAGGTAGATTTTGCGTTATCTCTTCAGTTCTGATGTGATTTGTTTAAAAACAATTCTAAAACTCCTTCACTGTAAACATAGTTTTCTTAGTCCTCATCTGTTTATGTTCACTGAGACTTCTATTTGCAAAAAGCTCAGGCATACATCCTAATCTGACTTGGTTGAGTCTGTCACCAGATACAGGAAGGAAATGTCCACCAAAGCAGCCAGAAGTTTACAGCTAGAAGAGATTCTSCAGATGACTGTTGGAATAGAGGGTTTCAAGACATCCTTTCCAACGTCAGACATTCTGTGAGATACGTCTTGTGCCCCCGTGATTGGTGACCTGTTCTCAGCAAGTCTTGGAGAGCCACAGCAATAACTGTGTAGCTACATATGAACCCACATGTCAAGTCATARCAAAGTAGCTTCATCAGGCTTTCATTGTAGTTCTTGGGTAAGGGATCTGATGATTTCTTGCAAAAGACCTCTGTAGAGATAATGCCTTACTGAAGCTGATTCAACCAGCTGTTAATTCTGTCAGCTGAGCACAGTTCAAGGTAAATGGTGAATTCTGAGGCCTTCCTTGGTGAAGGGTTAGAGAAGTTTAGAAGTGACTCAAAATGTTTCTGGTAAACTAAATGATATTTTACAAAAAGAGACACATTTTAGAAATCAGGAGTACTGAGGAAGAGTACTGAAGATTTAAGGAAATGATTTTAGGAGAAAAAGAAATGCAAAACTCAAAAAGAAAAGCTTGTTGAGTGGTCTGAATTTATCTCCACTTTTCCTCTATAAAATGGAATAGCAGATATGCCAGGCTCTGTCCACTTTGCCACTTCACTGTGACAAAAAGGAAAGAAGAGCTGAGTAGGATTATTTTTGTGCTCCAGAAAGATAAGGATGCATTTAAAGAACCAGGAAAAAATGTTAGGATAAATATTAGTGCCTTTGATATTTTGTATCCAGAGCTGGTATGAGGCGGAGGACATCAGGACTCCAGATCCAAGTAAACCTAACAGCAGGAGAAAGTAGAGAAGGTACTTAGTGGTAAGACAAGTGATGATGATGTGGGAAATAAAGTTGCAAGAGTTAGTGTCAAAGTAAGGCAAGATTAAGGTACACATTAGCTTTAATAATAGCATAGGCCAGTCACCAAGGATGAGGGTCATAACAGCTGAAGTAGAGCACAGTTCCTCCAGCCTTTGGAGATTCAAACTGTACTACTAATAATTTTACCGTAAATAAGATGA